TCCAGCCCTGGACGACGGCGGCGATGTCGCGAGCATCTCTAGAAGGTCCGGGTCATTAAGGTTCACCTTGTTTGCAGCAACAAACCCAGACTCTCCCCGGATAACTGTAGCAGGCTCATCGAGCCACTCCAGTGTCTCGTCGTCGTCTCGTTCCTCCGGCTCGAACCCCTTGATGCTACCTGGTAGTACCAAGGATAGTATTGCTGGCGGCAGCAAAAGTTGGGCCTCGAGGGCCGTCTTGACATAGGCAGGTAAATCTTTTGTGAACTTCTTACCAGACCCAATCCATTCGCTTTCTAGGAAGACGCCAGCGTGGCTCGTCGACTGTGGTGCCATGGGAGTGACCGAGGGGGATGCTGCCAGAGAGCAGCCTGCACAGCAAAAGATTGGGGGGAAATACAATTGATTGGACTTTATATATAATCTAGCACAAAGAGACCGAACGTGGCGCACTAAACCTACGCAGCGGCGTTGACAAAACAATAGCCCGGGGCAGCGTGAGAGGCACGAGAGGCACAAGGCATCGGCCCCAAGTGGTGGCTGGACACGGGTACCCAGCACGTGACCTCTCCTTATTTACATTATTTACACCGCTAATCAGACAGCCTTGTAAAAAAGTGTAAATTACCTGTAAATTACCTGTAAAAAAGTACGGTGTAATTTACACCGATTTATTTGCCTTACACTACTCACTGTGGATCGCGGACAGGACTTGACCTGGTCACGAGTGCGGGGTAACCACGGCGCCACCGACGCGTCGCAATAGGCACGTGAAAGACAGACGACCACGTGGAGCTGTTTTCGCGCGTTGCCCGGGCGCCTGCCGTCAACACCGTTTGAAGCCCAGGGACTGGCCGGTCAGTGGCAGATATCCAGACCCAGCGAGCAGCTCGAAAGGCTCCATCCGGCCGACCAAGTTCCGAACGAATACCATCCCTGGGCTTATCACTGGGCTGTACATATCAGGTTCTCTCCAATACACCCTCTCTGCACCGCCGCTCGTTTCGTTCAATACAATCGGCAACCGCGATACACTGCCGGAGTCTATATAGCCACCCCAACTGCCAATCTCGCCACTTCGCATCGAACAACTCTTCGATCTCACTTCCTATCCCTCAGCACCATCAAGCTGCAGTATGGCCACGACGGCTCCGTCAACGCCGGCTATGCAAGCAGTGAACACCCCGGATACTGCACTACCGGAGGCGCGGAAACCGTTTCTCAACCCACAGATCACGTCCTACTTTATTGCGGGGGGGATCGCGGGGGCTGCGTCGCGGACGGTGGTCAGCCCGCTCGAGCGATTGAAAATCATCCAGTAAGTCCCTCACTTCCGACACAGTGCGGTATTGACGGATATGCGCGTCGGCATGTGCTTAGGCAAGTGCAGCCACAGTCTATGGAGGGGCAGTACAAGGGCGTGTGGGCAAGCCTGACGCGCATGTGGCGGGAGGAGGGCGTCAAGGGCCTGATGCGCGGCAATGGTATTAACTGCCTACGAATAGTGCCTTACAGGTGAGTATACCCGCCGTCTGTGCTAAGACATAGCGTGGTGACACCGTTCCGATTCAAAGCGCCGTGCAATTCACTACGTACGAGCAGCTGAAGAAGGTAGGCGGTTGTTCGTCGGCCAACGTGACGGGGAAGACTGACGGGCGAACCGAGGGTTAGTACTTTACGAACTACGGTGCGACGCCGCTCGACACACCGACACGGCTCACGGCCGGCGCGCTAGCGGGCATTACCTCAGTGTGTGAGTTGCGGTCATATTGACTCCCCCAGGCTCTGTAATAGCAACGCTAATGAAATCAACCAGGCGCAACATACCCCCTCGACCTCGTCCGCTCGCGGCTCTCGATCGCAACCGCATCTATCCCGCTGCCCGCATCGTCGCCCCCGGCTAATAGCATGCCATCACAGCCTTCTCTCACCTCTGCTTATCATACGGCGTCGGTGTCGAGACCGGCCGTGCATGCGTTTGGACCGCAGGAGCTCACGATGTGGGGGATGACGCTGAGGGTCGTGCGCAAAGAGGGCGGTGTGCGGGCGCTATATCGCGGGATCATGGCGACGGCGACAGGTGTAGCACCGTATGTCGGTGAGTGACCTCTATAACAGGTCCATGCCATTTGTGGAGCACCGCCTTTGGTTTTTGGCATGGCTTCTGTGTCTGTTTCATTTCGGTGTTGGACGTGCGGCTGCGCCCATATGATTGTGTCCTGTCTTATCACGGTGTCTCAATGGTGGTTGTGTCTCGGAGTACTGATTGTTGCCAATGTGTAGGAATCAACTTTGCGGCGTACGAGGCGTTGCGTGGGGTCATCACGCCACCGGGAAAGAGCAGTGCCCCACGCAAATTGCTTTGTGGTGCACTTGCAGGTGCGACTGTCAATGATGGGGCCGTGATGTGCTCCAATGCATTGATATGCGAGAGCTGACGCATGCGGGTCTGCGCACAGGGTCGATATCGCAGACGTTGACATACCCGTTCGATGTATTGCGGCGGAAGATGCAGGTGACGGGTATGGATGCACTCGGCGTGAAGTATAGCGGAGCGCTGGACGCGCTGCAGAGGATCTTGAAGACGGAAGGCCCGCGGGGGCTGTACAGGGGGCTCTGGCCTAACCTGCGTACGTCCCTTAACAGTGGATTCTGGGTGAAGTTGCTCACGTCGTGTATTTATGCGTTATGGGCTGTGCAGTCAAGGTCGCGCCAAGCATAGCAACGTCGTTCTTCACGTATGAATTGGTGAAGGAGCTGCTGGGGGCGGCATGACCGTGGGTGCAAGGGCTGTAGGCCTGGATCCGATAGGGCGGGAGGCAGCGTCGCAGCCCGAGGTATGATCATCTGTCAGAAGGACAGTCGCACGTGCGAGGCGATTGGTAGTAGCGGGGCCGCACGGACTAATTGGCGGATACGAGCAAGATAGGTTGGTGACGGGCTGGGCATATCATATGACGGACTAGTCCTTTTCTAATGCACATCTGACGGGCGTAGACTACAATAGGAACAAGTGATATACTGGATTTGAAGGGAGATGTTGTGATTAGAATAGCTTGATACTTAGTGTGAACCCAAACAGTAAGGACAGAAAGCGGCCGAGACGAGGCAACGCCGGGGGCTGGCCGAGTTTGTGGGAGATTTGCCTCCGTGGAGGCCGGACCGCTGGCGCGATCGGAATTACGGCAGGCCCGGAGCCGGGGAGAGAACCGGAGGCGGGAAGTGACAGTCGGCCGGCGCCTTTGATGGTCGCGGTGGCGGCAGGACTGGTTGGGCCACCTGCTCATTCTGTCCGACCACGTCGACTGCGCTTCCACCTCCCGTCGTCGTTGTCGTTGTTGTCGTCGTCGTTGTCTCATCCGATGAGCAACACCGTCTGAATTGGTCCAACTGCAGGTGAGAGTTCCTCCTCGCTGCCGTGGGTGCGCCGATAGATAACTTTGGAACTTGCGCAGGATCGCCTCGCACCGTCCGCGTTGTTCTCTCGCTCCACTCGGGCGTCGACCTGGCCTCTAACCTCTTGCTGCTTTGTGCCTACGCTCGCTGCATTTCCTCTATCTTATAATCTTCTCTTTCTCCCTTTCACATTGCCTTAGCCTGCGCCAGCCATGCATTATCCGCACGCCCTCTCGCGCTCCCGCGAGGCCCCCTACCCCCATGCGTCCTCCAGCAGCTCCCTCTCTTCCGCAGCGTCCTCGGACCTCCTCCCTGCGGCAGCGCCCTCCATCTCTTCTCAGTCCGATATTGCCTCCGATCTCTCTCTCTCGTCTTCCCCCAAGGCCCTGCCGCCTCTCAAAGCTGCTAACCGCTTCTTCTTACCGCTCCAGCACCGTTCGCCCTCTGCGCCAGTGTCTGCTATGGGCCAGTCGCTCGCCCCTGCCACACAGCCATCTCGTCCAGCTTCGCCTGCCAATGCCAGCACTGGGCCTGCTAGCCGCATCAAGCGCGCGTGGGCCGTTCGCAGGAAGAAATCAGAGGATGTCACCGCCGTCTTTGCCGCCTCGGGCTTCCCCTCCAAGGACAAGGCGCGCGAGAGCACCGACACTGATTATGACCCATCCGCGTCCGTCTCGGATCTCTCACATACGTCATCCCACGCGAACTCACTTGCGAGCGACCGTGGGCACAATCCGTTCGCGATCGCGTCCACCAAGCTCAATGTCTTTGGCGGTAGAAAGGTGACGGGAGGTTCGGAACCCAAGAACTTCAAGCATAGCGGGAGCCCACCACCGCCGCCTCCACCGCCCAAAGAGGCATCTGCGCCTCCAACCCCGCGAAGGGCTCCCATTTCCCCACCGTTATCTACCCCGCAGCCGTCGCTGCGCGTGCCCATACCTACTGCTGGCACACCTGTTTTGCGTCCCAAGGAGAGCTTACCGTCGATACCCACGCAATCCCCCTCTCCATCAATATCGCCGTCACCCTCACCCTCACCAGCAGCGGACAAGGAGCGGCTAAAGGAGGACTGGCGTAAGAGCGATTCGACAATGACGTCGCACTGCACGATCCGGCCGGGTGCACTTGCGGGAAATCGCTCGCCAAGGCCAGTGTCGCTGGCCGAGTCGAGCCATTCTGGGCACACCATCGTACCGGTCAACAAGCGGCTGAGTGCCCTGCTCACAGATTCCGAGTTTGCAATGGTGGAGGAGAGCTCCGATGACTCGGAGGAAGAGCAAGAGGGCGAGAGGTTGGCCCGCATTATGTCAGGCTCGAGAGGAGGGAAGTCATCGTCGCCCGCGGCTTCCGTCAGGACGCGCAATCGTCGCTCGCTCTCGGTGAACTTCCCCCCAGGGCATCCGTTCAGCCACGCACCCGAGTCGGCGCCCCAGGTGCCCACACGTCCCCCTTCGAGTGCGGGTTATTACGCGATACATGCGCCCAGTGCCTCCGTGTCGCCGCTGATGACGACGATATCGCGCGACTCGCCAACGCTTACGCGCACGGCGGCGAACGGCTTCATCGCGCCGCTGAACACTGCTGGCGCCCAATACAGTACTGGGAGCCACATCAAGAGGCGGCTCGCGGCGTGGACATCCGCTTCGGCAGGAAACACGCCCACACGTATGCACCCAGCCCAACCACTCCCTGCTGTGCCTCCAACGTCGCAGCGTATGGCTTGGCGGCGCGTCTCGCCGCCGAATCAGGCATCGGAAGGACATCTGCAGGCTCAAAGCTCGAGTCCCCCACCGTCCTTCAGACAGACTGCGGTCAGCATGACCGGAAGCCTCGCGCCTGCAGCAGGACTTGCAGTGGGCCTGGGCAAGCGCGCCGTCGAGAAAGTTGGCCGCGCGTGGGGTGGGTTCAGCACGTCGAGCAGCGGACACAGTCTCGGCGCGGGATCAGTGCACTCGGTGTCGACCTCGTCCGTCGCATCGTCGGACCACGGCCACGGGTTCCCTCTGGGCCGGACGGTATCGAAAGAGTCGAGTAGTGTGTTGTCGCATGTGGGGAGTGGCTTGAGCGGGGTGGTGTCGGGGAAGGTGAAGGGGAAGAAGGAGAAACGCAAAGGCTTCGCGGCACCAAGCGTTGCGTCGAGCGTGACATCGTCGTCGGCGTCCGATATGGACGGATTTGTCATGTCGGGCCCGACGCTGGGACGGAGGCTGCGCGGCCCGCGGCAGACGCCGTCGGGCGCGAGCATCGTGGGCGGGCTGGTGTTTAAGCGCGACTTGAAGACCTGCGTCGCGGAGACAGCGATCAGGGGGAACATGTCGCGCGATGAGAACGAGGACAGGCGCAGTGTGCCACTACTGGAGGACCGGCTTGTGCCGGCTCTGGTGGTGAGATGTGCGCAACATGTGTTGCGGTGGGGTGTGCAAGAGGAGGGGCTGTTTCGGTGAGTGTGTCCTGCGATTGCTTGCAGACGTTGGTGCTGACGATAGTAACAGAGTGAGTGGGCGGTCGTCGCATGTCGCAAAGTTGCGCTCGGAATTCGATGCGGGTAAGTTCTGCCGCAACTATCTTGACCGCGGTTAAACTCATAGTTTTGCAGGGTGTGACTGGGATATGGCTGAATGTGATCCGTCGGATTTGGACCCTCATGCGGTCGCTTCGATATTTAAAACATACCTACGGGAACGTAAGTGTATCTTGATATCCTGGTTGCGACTCGACTTACGTTTTCGTACAGTACCCGAGTCAATCTTGACGGCGAGTCTCATTCCATACTTCGAGTCTGCGCTCGCTACCGAGAACGAGAATCGGGCGAGCCTTGACTCGTCGATCAACGGCTCTGTCAAGTCGCCGCCAACGCACCAACGTAGCGGATCGGCGCTCGAGTTGCGCAAAGCACCTTCGCTGTCTACGCTTGCTGTTCCCAGCTTCGCCGGAAAGCGTGTGGTGTCGGATTCGCTCCTCAATGCCCTCACATGGCTCATTTCCCGCCTTCCTGCTGAGAACCGTGACCTGCTATACACGGTAGCCGAGCTCATCAAGGCTACGGCAGCTCACAGTTCGCAGACCAAGATGCCACTCGGCAACCTTCTCCTCGTGTTCTGCCCCAGCCTGAACATGGCCCCCGAACTGCTGCGCGTGCTATGTGAGCACGACATCATATGGCAGGGTGTGCCTGAGCCTGTCGCTGATACCCCAGAGGCGAGTGACGACGCAGAGGCTGAAGAATCGGAGGACGAGTCTGCAGACATCCGGGCGACGTTCGTTACCGCACCGGAGCTGAGGCTGAGCGCCGAGGCGTCTGAGGTCCTCTCGCGGGACTCGTCAATGTCGTCGACCGATATCCCCACAGAAGACGACGAAGTGCATCTGGAGACGCCCGCAGACTCTACGCCTGCTATCATCGAACGTGCCAAGTCGTCGGATGCGAAGATGGACCACCGTACTGCCCAAGTCATTGATGTGGAGATTGTGGATCAGCCGGAGATGTCGACCCCAAATGCACAGTCGGTGTCTGGGTTTGCTTCTATGCAGCGTGCGCCGGAGCTCGTGCTGCTGCCGCCGCTCAGCCCCATCTCCCCAGTTTCGCTCAGGGACGACAGCGGATCCTTCGTATCTGCGCTTGGGCCTCCGTCAGCCGTCCCCACAAGATCGCCTAGCCCTGTCGCAGGAAGTAGGGCATCAAGCCCTCACGCGGTCCCCACCCTCTCATCGTCTGCTGAGTCGCTCAGCTCCCCTTCGGAAACATCCGAGGAGCCAGTATCACCTCAGCCCCGCTCGTCAACTGATGCGGAAGGTGAGCAGGAAGGAGCGCGCAGTGTGAACTACAAGCATGCGCCGGTACTGGACCATACACAATCACAGGACTCATTGGCCATTCCAATATTGTCAAAAGAGGCAACGGACATGTCCCCTCCGCGCCGCCCTGAAGTAAGCACTCACACTTCCGCCCCTGCATCGGCTCCCGTAGTTGCCGTGCCGTTCCCGAGTACCGGTGGGACCACCCCTGACACTCCCGTATCGCGTCGGAAATCCTTCTCACTGTTGAACTTCCCGTCTCTACGCTCAGACCCTGGCCCCGGTCCGTCTCCCGTTCGAGCCGACCCTAAGATATCCCTACTCTCGACAAGCCTTGGCATCCATTCAACTATTCCTCCGCCCTCGAGCTGGCATCGTCCCAAGCGTCCATCACTCCATCTACTCTTGAAGACACTCTCAGGGTCTGGATCGCGTCCTCAAACTCCAAGCGTTGCAAATCCTAGTGCGATGGCCAGCGTATCGTCACTTCCGGTATATGGTAGCCAACAGTCTCCACTCCAGGCTACAGCGTCAGTGCCATCTCTTACAGAATTGCCAACGATTGTCACTCCGAGCGTGCCACCGAAATTGGAAACAACTATCTCCTTGTCGCCCATGGAGCTTGGTTTCCAGGATGCGGATGCTCAGTCGGCGGAGCCCAAGCAACAGGTTCAGCCTGCCATTGTGGATGCTCGCAATAAAGGTGTCTCTGAGAACTCACCCTCTTCGTCGAGGCCAGGCTCTCAAGGTGGCGATAGCCACTTACGGGCGCGCACCGAATCATACGCGCCGTCCTTGTATGCGACACCGCTCGGGACGACACCGCAGACCCCCATAGCTGATTTGTATCAAGTCCAGGCGCGTTCGAAGTCTGCTCTATCATTCTTCAATGACCTAGGCGTTGAGCGCTGTAGAGAGCGGAAGAAGGAAGTGGATGAACACGGCCTATATGTCATGGCGCGGTCGCACTCTGAGGTGTCGCAGGTCTCAGTCACGCCATCCATCGAGCTACCTGTGGAGGACTCCCAGGAGGATTGGGCCGAGAGCGTTTTGTCAGCTGCCCAGGGTGTGAGGAATGACAACGAGCTGAACGCCCCCAATGCATAGGTGGGCTGTTTACCGGCAATAATGACGCTGAGCGTTTTGCTGTTTACTTTCTGTCGAATGAATGGTGTTGACATCGTCTTGGGTTACTAACGTTAACGATCTGCGTTCAATATTTTAAACATACCGGACATTTTCTATCGTCTTTTTATCTCATTCGCTTGGTTCTCCTTCAGTTTACACGTCAGGTCTGCACGTAGTATCTCACCGATCTCCATTAACGGTATCAGTCATATCTCGCAGTCGGAATGTCCTATGCATAATCACCCTCGTCAAGTGTAGTATTTTCTCAAAATGAAATCGGAAATAGTTATAATTCCTTGCGATGTGCATCACAACCTGCAGGAACTCCATTGCATTGTAGCGCGTCGCGATCTATCTCGAGTTTCTGGAGAAGCTACAGGGATATAATCTACTGTGTATATATGTTTGAGAAGCAGGAGTGCTACGATGTGCATGCTACACCATCTCGATCTCTTACAAAAGTGTTCGCGGAATCGGCCACTGATGGCGTGTATATGATACAGACTGTTCTTCTCTACAATGCGTCGGGTGATAGATCTCCGAGTGTGTTTAGGTCGGCAGTGCTATATGCGCTGTGTAAAGAACGTTCCTCGTCTCCGTATTCAGACTGTGTATCAATATGCTCCTGGGGGTTGAGAGAACAATTAAAAGCCATTAAAGGTCCAATCACACGTCAAACTCACGTCGAAATAGTGGTGAGCAAGGCTGCGAGGAGCTAGAGACGATGGTATGAGTTTCAGCAAACAAAACAATTCATAAGGCGCTCACTCTTGGGCGTCCTCGGAAGGCGACAGGAGGCACCACTCTGTAGAATGTGGAATGCGACAAGGCCTGACCTAGAAACAAAAAGAAATTCCTTGAGCGCTCACGGACGCCGGTCGTTAACAGCGCACTAACCATCCAGTTTGATGGGATGCACCTAAACCGCGACCATCGTCTGCATGGAAGAACTGGGGGCTGGTGAGTATATGGACATATTAAGACATGTATGTTTCAAACCTCATGGAACCACACGTAGTCTCGGAAATGTGGGTCAGCGTCAAGTTTGGGATTCCCGCCGTTGGTCGCCCGTCTGCCTTCGACATCACGGCCGAAAATATGAATAATTCTATGCTGTATTTCCTCAGCCACCTCTACTAGGTTCATGTAATCCCCGCTGCCGGTAGGGCATTCCACCTGTGTAAGAATTTTCAGTACCTGTTCTGGCTCCGTCTACCAAGCGACAAACTTGTAGCTCATCTCCATAATACTGATAGAATCTCTGTAGACTCTCGATCAGGATGAAGTTTACAGCGAGCCCTATATGTGAACTGCTATCAGTCTGGAAGAAACAAAAGTGATATGCAACTCACAAATGGGTCCTCTCCAATTCGAGTTTCCGCCGAACATTCCTGACTTTGAATCTCCGGGCCAGTAGTTCACTTCATGACGCTCTCCATGTACGGTCATCCCCCAGGGCTCATCCTTGTGCTTCTTAGACAGGCTAGAAGGGACGAAGTCGTGAGGCTGTGAGGCTTGCCGTATCAACAAATAACGTACGACCGGATTCCGTGCTCGCTGAAGAATTCGTCCTCATCCAACATCTTCTCCAAAATGCGGACAAGGCGTTCCTTGCTGGCCAGTGCCAGAAGTCTTCGCTCCCCACGTCCCGCGACTTTTCCGACGTCGTGTTAAGTATGCATAAGGTGACAGTATGGCATTAGGACGTACCCTTGATGTTTGCCATGTTCCTTTCAGACAATTCGGGTCGATTCTCGATGAACCATTCCAGTCGCTTCTTAAATCCTGGGAAGCGGTTGATGGTTGCCGGCTCCAGGACTAGGGTCGCATACAGTGGGATTAAGCCCACTAAGCTCCGCACGGGGAGTTGCATAGAATGTCCGTTGTCGAACTGAATGGCGTCATAGTACAGGCCGTCTTGTTCACTCCAAAGGCTCAACTCGCTGTCTCCTGCCTTGAAAGTCATTGCGTCGGCAATAAAAATAAAGTGCTGCCCGACGGGTAAATCAGCACCAATTAGCCCGATGATCGCAGTGGGCTAACCTCGAAGAACTTGGAAGCGATATCTTCGTACACAGAGTTGTGCTTCGCTAATTCGAGCGCTATGTTCATCCTGATTGGTAGTGTCTATAAGCAACTAAACAGTCATTGAAAGGCACAACGTACATATTGAGACAGTAAAATGCCATCCAAGCGGTCCCGTCAGCTTGTCGCAGGACCCCACCAGTAGGCAGTGGTTCCGAACGGTTAAATACGCCGATGTTGTCCAAGCCTAGGAAGCCACCTTCAAACACATTGTTGCCGCCTTGGTCCTTTCGGTTGACCCACCTGTGCGCAAGGGCGAAATTTATACATATATATATGCATTAATCGACGAGATAGAGCAGTACTGCTCACCAAGTGAAGTTGAGTAGTAGCTTCTGGAAAACGCGCTCGAGGAAACGGACATCCTCTCTACCATACAGCTTGCGTTCAATCTTGAATACCCGGAAGGTGGCCCTAACCAGGAATCAGTGACAACTTAGATTACGTCAGATGCAAACTCACCAAGCGTGAACGGGAGGGTTGACATCGCTGAAGTTCCACTCATAAGCAGGAATCTGACCATCAGGCTTCATGTACCACTCTCGCGTCAGTAGATCGAGCTGCTTCTTCGCGAAAGCTGGATCAACCACTGCCAATGGAATACAATGAAAGGCTGTATCCCACGCCGCGAAGAACGGATACTCCCATCTAGCGTCGGCAGTTGTTGAGTGTATGCGCGTGAAATGTATACATTAACTCACTTGTCAGGCATGGAGAGGATGTCTGCGATATACAAATGTTTCCACTCCTGTAGGAAAACGGATTTCAGAGACTGTGACCGTCTCATGATCAGAAACATACCTTGTTCCGCACATCTTTCCTCTCCGGGGGTGGGGGTGGTTGGGCGGGATCTCCCTGTAACCAATCCTTCTGCACGAACTGGTAGTACTGCTTTGTCCACAGCATTCCAGCTAACGCCTGCCTCATGATCTGCTGTAAGTCATCCGTCATGGGACCCATGACCAGCGTGGAGTAGAATTCATTTGCTTCTTCTCTCCGCTCCTCGATCGCGTCATCAAACATGCCTTCGTCTTCAATGGTCGGATCTTGCCCCGGTTTACGCTTGGTAAGCTTCAGTCGTACGACAGCACACCCTCCGCGCGGAGGCACGTCCTCGAAGACATAGTGAGCTGCCGATTTGGTCCCACGCTTCTCTGGATTTATGAACGAGGGTCCCTGGGGGAAGGGGGTTCGTGGACCCTCTTCTTCCTCAGAACTGGGTGATTCCGCTGTGCCGCCTGTTCGCTTGACCCTGCTATCGCGCATGGCATCATTTGAGCGAACTTTCGTGGCGAAGAATCCTGGATTTTCCTCGCCAGAAGCAGGCGGACGGTGTGCCGGGATAATGTGATCGTGAAAGGCGTCCTTGACGTAAGGTGTCTCGTTCTGTCCGCCATAAAGCCTGTGAAAGTTGGTATTGTTCTCGGTGAAGAGAAGCTCCGGTTCTATCGCATCATCGTCTTCTGCGGTTTCTCCGACTGGCGATCCATTGGCGCTGACGGCAGGCGGAGAAGGTAGACAGTAGAGATAGGACTTCCCGAGAGTTGGGTGAACAGCGGTGATCACGCTGTTACTGGAAGAAGACAAGAGGGGCTTCTCCGGCTTCTCCGCAGGCCAGGACCAATAGTTGGTGAACCAGAATTGGGGAATAACATGGAGGGTAGCCGGTTCTGGTCCACGGTTGTAAGATGTTATGCGAACATAAAGGCTGTCAGGGTCTTGCTCGTCTTTCGCGTACTATAGGGGGTTAATAGCTGTCAAAAAAAAAGCGCATATAGCCATGTTAGACTAATGATACGTACCTCTAGGAAAACATCCCAATAACGGTCGTCGTCAAACGCATCTGTGTCTAAGATCTCGAATTCGGAGACGTTGCGATCTCGATGCATGTTCTCCTCCACAAGCTCTTCATACGGGTACGCTTTCTGAGGGTATTTGTACAAGAACTTCATATACGAATGAGTAGGAGTCGCGTCGAGATAGTAGTATAGTTCCTTGACATCCTCGCCATGATTTCCTTGGTGTCCTGTGACGCCAAAGAGGCGCTCCTTGAGAATACGGTCCTGGCCGTTCCAGAGCGAAAGCGAGAAGTTTAAACGCTGGTGATTATCCGATACACCAGCAATGCCATCTTCGCCCCACCGGTAAGCGCGCGAACGAGCGTGCTCATGGGGGAAGTGACTCCAAGCATCGCCATTGGCAGAGTAGTCTTCTCTGACGGTAGCCTTTATATATGCGTGCATCATGTCGTGTTCTCAGAAGAGTAGCATACACTCAAACTCACCCATTGTCTATCACTGACATACGGGCCCCATCGTTTCCAATGTAGTTCCTTGTTGTCATCTTGATCGAGGCGATATCGCTCTGCACCATGGTATGCATCCCCCAGCTTCTCGGAAAGCCTGTCGCGGAATATCCTGTTCTCCGCGTTATGCGCCTCTTGCTTCGGCGATGCAGAATCTGTCTTGGTCAATTTAGGACGGACGGGCGCGGGGGTTTGAGAAGACTTGGGAATGTTGATCGTCAATGCAGGATCCGACGACGACCGCGATGGTGTCATATCAATATTTTTGCCGTTTTCTCCTCGAAAAATCTTCCCTTGTATCTTCTTTGACTGCGACATGAGGGGAGAGGTAAGGAGTGGAGGCGAAAACGAACGCGTCCAGAACAAGCGCCCGACTCGTCTTTGCCTGTATGCATCGACGTCATGGCCTCGTGATCTGGGGCATCAAAATCTCAAACTTTTCCCGCACTCTGCCGGTGATATAGTATCGATCATCATGCATACGTAGATTCAAGGAATAATATTTTGCCCAATACGCGGAGAACAGTACGGGAGATTTGGACAAAGCACACAGCAAGATGTAGCAAGACGAAGACATTAGATGGACATCGGTCGCAGCATTGTCCATATGCAGTCGCATTTTTTGTGGTCACCAACCAGCTTCCACCATCTGCGTCCCTCTTAAGCAGGTGTCGCAGCAGGCGTACCACCCCGAGCTTCATGGAATCCTAGTGGGATCTGATGAGACTCGTGTGTTATCAATTGAAGGAGATGATAGGCCTACCGCGTCCACGACCGCGGCCTCGACCGCGATGCTCGCCATCGCCACCCCGCCATTCCCCGCTATGCCTGCCACGACCGCGATGCTCACCGTCGCCACCCCGCCATTCCCCGCTATGCCTGCCACGGTACTCACCTCGTTCCCCTCGGAAGCCGCCACGAGGACCACCACGGTCACTACGTTCACCGCGTTCACCATGTTCACCACGTTCACCACCACGATCGCCGCCACGGTAACCACCACGTTCACCACCACGACCGCCACGATCACCACCGCGGCCACGGTAACCACCTCGGTCTCCTCTGAAGCTACTACCCCTCCCGCCTCTGCCGCGTCCTCTCGTGGACATGAAGCCCTCCTCATCATGTTGTTGCGGAGGATGACCATTCGTTTGTGCACCGTTGACCGAAGGTGTAGGTGGTACAGTACCGTTGGGAACCGGAGTTTGAGGCTTGCCGAATTCTGCGTGCAGGCTTCCGATAGAAGGCAGACCACCCTCGTCCTCGTCCGCCCAGTCAATCGCACTGTCTGCAGCTGCAGCTGCACCTGGCACCTGAAGTAGCGATAGTGAGCCTGTTGCATGTATATGTCAGAGTTTTGGCACAAACCTCAATTGTGACAGTCGTCTCTTGCACGACAGTCTGGCCGACTTCTTTATCTTCAATGACTGTGTCGACGACTTCCACCTCAGCGGGCTGTTCAACCTTGGGAATTGCATCATACTGCGGCTCGACTATAGGTTCGGCAGGGGTGCTCTCTAGCTCATCTTCTTGCATAAAGTGGAAGGCACCTGTCGTTCCAAGCGATGATGGTAGGCCTACAGCTGCTACGATGCTCTCGGCCTGCTGAGCCACATCTTCGTGTGTCTGCTCTTCCAAAGCTTCTTCCTCAGGTGTCGGAGCTCGTGGGGGATTCAAAAACAACTGCGTAATCTCATGCAGACGAGAAACTGCAAGTAATACTTGAGTATCCATCACGACAGTGATAAGCAGGACTTACATGTGATGCCATTATATTCCCCTGTACCAGTCAAGAAACCGTGAAGGATATTCCCCCAGGAATCCGAGTCGTCACCAAGTAAAGTTTCAGTAGCCGAGTACACAGCGTAGTTTTCCGGCTCGCTGAGTCTAAGGAATGTAACAGAGGGGTGCGAGGCTAGAAGAAGATCCCGTAGTCGCAAAAAATGCAGTAAATGGGCGGTGCGCTGTCGCTGCGCAGCCTGTGAACAAAATCATAGCAGTCAGCGTCAGTACGTGCAGTCAGCATGAAAAGTGAACCTCTGCAGCCTCCACCGCGTCAGCAAGTCTCTGTCGTTCGAGCCTGACAGCCTCTGTCAGTTTCGAGGCAAGTTCTTGCGCGACTTCAGCTTCGTGAGTCTACGAATTTGAATGTCGTGAAGATGAAACGGATTGCAGAAATTCTAGACCAACCGCTATCACTTTCTTCACTTCTTCCAGTTCCTTTCGGACTGCTTCAAGCCCGGGTAAAGTTCGCAGTAGCCGCCTTTGATCGTCATTGAGGGTTTCGGGAGGTTCAGAGGAGTACGCCTCGATTCGGGTCTGAAAAAGGATTGGATTAGTATCACTGCCCAGGACAAATACGTATCTTCGTTTACGTAGCGGGGGCAGGTAGAAGACATCACTCACCATCTTTTTCTGGATTGCCTTCAGTCGCTTGTTGAGCATGTCGATGATCGGACTCGGCTTGAGCACATTGTCTTCAACAGGAGACTGCGGCTCTTCGGGTTGTGCAACAAGTGAGGGCGTGATGGAACTCTCCCTCACATCAACCTCCGTCGGTGCCTTATCAATTAGAGCTGCCGCGACCGGGTCAGGCACCACGACATGGTCCACTGTCTCTGGTTCAGTGGACTTAGCCTTCGCCGTCTTGCGTTTCTTCTTCTGCGCCTTGCTAGGCGGAGCGGGCGGAGGCGCCCCAGGTACAATGCGAACGGTGGGCGAAGCAGGTGAGACTGAGGCAGTCCTTGCAATCACTTTTTCTGCCATTTCGGAGTACGTTGGAGGGGAGTATGAGTCAGTCGCTGGGGGTCAGACCAAGTGTGAGTGCAAGGGGGAGACAGCGCGGTCGTCATTGCGGTACCACCGACGGCGATTTCTCACGCGTCTTCTCCGTCACACAACGAGCACACGGTAGTACATAACTTATGGTAACTCCAAACTCCGAGCACGCTCTCTCGGGACCACTGAACAGCATCTTTCACGCTCAAAGATTGGAGAATGGATACTATTGGTTCTAGAAGCATGCAGCACTGGAAGTATCGCGCTCGCTCTTGTCTACTCTTGATCGTGGCTCTCTACTTCTGGGTTCTGGGTTTCGCACTCTTGAAAACTGCTAATTGGCGTTCCGGCCGGCAGAAGTAGGCAGGGCGTATACGACACAGTTGCCCCATGTTCCTGCCCGCGGTGACAATCTGGGCTTGGTCTCGAATAAAATGACACTACTGCGTGTTGCTTGATGCTTCATGTCAGCCCTCGTTGGTTGACATTAGTACGTATCTACAAGGAAGCCGTCGAACCGCCTTCTTGGAGGACCGACTATCAGGAAATGGCTCTCGACATGGACTTCAGCTCGAATCGACATGCTGCAACAGTGCAGGAGTACGAGGTACCCACTCGACACCCAGAGCTGTCTTTCGAAGATGGAAATCTTGCCATTGTCACTGGTCGACAATACTTCCTAGTTCATCGTGGATTACTTTGCCGTCACTCCAGCGTTCTGGGTCAAAACATATCGTCCTTGGGATCTACTCACGATCGCTTACTGGAAGGACGCTCCATTATGACTTTGCAAGACACACCTGAAGACATGGTTTGCTTTTTACAGGCTCTATATGGGTGAGCCCCAATCGCAATTACTGTTGTATCACCGAGCTCAAAGAGCCTTCATCTTAGATTCCACACTAACCTCGAGAACAAGGATTTCCGGACAATTTCTGCTCTGTTGCGTACGTCGACAAAGTACGGTGTAGATGAGCTTCGGAAGGAGGCCATCCGGGTTCTCTCATTGTCTTGGCCTACCAGTCTCTCCCAATGGGAAAAACGGGAGAAGAACGTGACGGACATTCACGGTCTGTATTCGCCTCGGCTAGGTCTGCCCCATCCAACGTGCGCTTCTCGTATAATGCCCTCGTATTCGCCCGCTGACACAATATTTCCAGACTTATTATTGAATTGGCCCGGGAGGTGAATGCTCCGGACCTATTGCCCTCTGCTTTCTATGATCTATCACGCTATCCGCCAAGTCAAATTGCCCTCGGTCACATCAGCGAGATTGATAGCCACAATCTCAACCTGGCCTCTGAAGACCTGCTTAGGGTGCTCCGAGGGAAGGAACAATCCGCCCGGTTTTTGTCAACATTTATCGTGAATGAGCTCGAGGGTCGGGAGCCATCAGACGGCTGCTTACGCCGCCAGGACCCTCATTCATCCATTCAAAGGGCATGCCAGGTCGCCTTCGAAACCATCAATTTCGAGCTCATCCGCGACGTCAATAGTATGGTATGCAACCGTAACTCCGACCCACTATTCGCCATCGCCGACAGCCTTCTCATGCAAACAAGAGAGGACGTGCCAGGGGCGCAGAATAGGGCGGTCTACCGAGCGTGTGAGGTCTGTCGGCTAGAGTACGGCTCTGTCGTGGACACGTCGCGGGAGGATTTTTGGAGGCGGATTCCTGAATGGTTTGAGCTAGAGGTTCAGAATTGGGGCTGATTACCACTCGCCTCTGTCTCTGCTATCGCGTTGGAAATATTGTTCCGTCGTGGTCTCTTGATGCTCTCTTGTGTATGTATGTCCTTTTTTCAATACTCATTATCGAGGCATTGAAAGGACGCGTACAGTCACAGTGTGACAGGTCGCGTCGAGAGTCGATTGCCGGCTCCCGATCGCTTTAGTGCCGATCGCGTCTTGAGATCAGGCACATCTGGTGCCACAGCTTTGTGTCTCGCCGCTTGCGCTCAAGAAACAGTTCATACTGGTACGGCCCCAGTTTCCAGAGTGGATCATACCAGTATGCTGCAACCCCTCTATTCTGAGCTTAGCGGCATTTACGATGAAGATAGGAGCGACATTCTCCTCCTCGACACAGACGACCTCATGCAAGACGAGTTCTTGGACTTTGAGGTCTTCGAGATGGAACATGGAATGACGTCGTCCATATCTCCAACGACGAGATCCGCGTCTCCTGAACCTATCCAGCTTGATTGTGACATCAATCAATTTTCTGCAGACCCACAATCTGTCACAGAAGATTTCGAGCCGGATTCGGATTCGGATTTAGTGGACTCAGACTTACGGTAAGTATTCAGTGCATTAGTCCGTTTCTCTCCCTGATACTGATGATGATCGCTCAGAAATCAGGTCATAGAAGGACTCGAGAGCTTTGTCCTATCACTTCTTGAACAACTCTCAGACACGATATCTCTTTCCGACGATAAAATAAATAAAAGCAAGCGTATTAGAATAGAGTTGGCGAACCGCAAGAAACCGATAGAGGACGGGTATACTGCATGCTTTCTGTGAATGTTGCAAACTCAGATTCCGTCATCTAGATCATTCGCCGTCCGCACCTTGCGGTTCCCACAGAAAGCAAGAGGTGCCAGCATCGTACCGTTTGGTAGATCATCAGTATATGCGCGCATACATGCTGAATGCTCATGCAATACGTAGCCCAGTTGTTCAAAATAGTGGACCATATGCATGAAGCGCTTCTACACGGTGTTCCCACTACTAAGAGGTGCGCGAACATACCTAAATATATATATTACACACCAAACACATGTTGCACACGCAGAGACATATACTACAAGGACGTACGGCTGTTCAAATCGCAAGCTGTAGTTGATAGGGTCTGTCGATATAGCTGCACCAAAATATTGGCTCTGACACATTCTTGCATCAGCTCGTCGATGATGTAGCAGCCACACTAGATGTTGGGCGTGCTGACCTCTTCGTCGTATGTATCTACCGAACGATGTGGAGCACAAACATGATACTGACACAACCTAGCGAGCTTCCTCTAAGGGGCTCATTGCCGCATGCGGATTGACAATGCATCTGAAGGAGGGGATGCTCGAGCTAAACGATGCAGAGGTAATCTCGACCCAGCCTGACGCGTAGCCTGCTGACGATCAAAAAATGACTTACCTAGGGCGTACTCATACCTGCAGCCGAGGAGATCGTCCGATTCGATCTGGACGAACTGCCTTCTTGGGTGCTCATTGTTGAGAAAGAGGTTTGTGCGCCTGGATCGCGACAATAAACAGTGTGCTAAATGAGACATCGATGCAGGCTGTGTTCCAGACGCTTTGTCGGCTGAGGCTCGCAAGTCACCCGGCATTGCCTGGGCGCGGGATAATCATCACCGTACGCAGCAGCTTTGCATTTGCAGATCGCTAAACCTTCCATGCCGTTAATACCTCAGGGAAAAGGATACCCGGACGTCGCTACCCGGCAACTTGTGAAGACTCTCTGTGACAACCTTCCTGACAGGCAGGTTTACCCTCAATATTCTCTCGTGAACTGACAATACGACAGAACACCAGTATTCCCATCTTGGCGCTTGTCGACGGAGATGCCCATGGGCTTGATATCCTCTCCGTGTACAAGTACGGCAGTCTGAGCATGCAGCATGAGAACGAAAGGCTAGTCGCTCGCAAGATCAAATGGCTGGGGATATATACTACCGAGCTCGCCGGGTAAGGCTTTCCACCCGGCGTGTGGTATCAGGGCAGTTCTCGGCTCAGACACTTCTCATAGAATAGGTCTGAGTAAGGACGAACTCATACCGATCAACAAGCATGATGAGAAAAAGGTGCGTAACCCTTTCGTTCCGTCGGTGCGTGGGTGCGGCATCTGAACATCCGGCCGACAGGCATTAACGATGCTCCGGCGGCCCAACCTCCCGAAGAGATGGCGGTACGTATGCGCAGGACCCAAGACATTTGCAATTTCTCTAGACTGAGCACGCCATACGACATCTATTGACCCGTATCTGTCCAGGAAGGAGCTGCAACACATGCTGCACAATCGCCGCAAAGCAGAGATCGAGGTGCTCTCTTTAGCCACTCAGTCTATGTTCATCTCTGGCTGCAGCGACGATGGCCCACGTTTGGGTGCTCACGCGCTGAACTCACTGCCACCCCTGATGCACTATCTCATCGCGAAGATCAGTACACACGTCGCAGCAGAACGCACCGCCACTGGCGATCAATGACTCCATACATCGACCTCTCTCTGATGCTCATCAGAAAACCTGTTCACAAACGACTTCCACACATTGTGATAGCCATGCGAGCGTTCTACACTATGATGCACTGTACACGTACCACAATATCTGACGATGCTACTTGTAATGTAGATGGTTGAGTCCGTAACGAGTGCGATGTCCGTACCCAGAAATACAAGTTTAGCTGTAAACGCGACAGAGGCTATGCAATGCAGTCCATCATCTCAGCGTTACAACGATTGAGCGGTCCGTTCGGCATGAGGCCGTTATTAGTATGGTGCGCACGGGTCAAGGAGTAGCTATTGATGTCCTGCTGCGTGTGAAACTTCCAAGGGGCTCGTCTTCGGGCTGTCACGACCGAGCAAATGAGCATCGGAGCCCAGTTGGCGGCCGAGAAGCAGGTCGTGGACATTGACATACCGATCGGGATCGTCCAGCATAACGGACATGGTTGAGTGCTGCGAGATGGGGGTGGGACCGCGTTCAAGCGAGTACACAGCGTCCTCTGCAGAAGACAGCTCGGAGTGTGACATCGAGGGCGGTACTGCAGGCGGCTGCCCTGGGTATGAAGGAGCAGTCACCAGGCGGGCAGGGGGCGGGAGTGGGATGTCAACGGGCGACTCGACCAAGGCGTCGTGACCATGCTCGCTGTGTGGATTGGGAAGCGTGACCTCGGATGCAGATGGAATGTGCAGCGGGACTCTCAGATTGTTCTGTGGTTTTGAGTGTTCGTAAGCAGTGCTGGGGCGGGACTGCTCCGGAGTCGGGGAGAAGGCATACAGCATCGACGAGCGGACGCTAGGAGGGCTGGACAGGGTAAGGGAGCGTGGCCGTAGTATTGTCGGGACGAAGTCCACACGTGGCGTGGCAAGTGGGTAAGCATTCACCTCGTCAGGCATAGAGTCAACAGTCGAGGAACGACTGGACTGTCGTCTCAGTGAGCGAGTTTCATGGTCTGATTGGTAAGTTGCCTTCGTCTCCTCAGAACGATCCGGCTGCGTGAAGTGGGCCGTTCGGTGTGATCGTCTCAGTACAATGAGGAGCACGAGGAGCAAGATAGCGATGACAACTGCAATTACCAGTTCAGTGGATCCAGCCTCAGCCGTGACTGAACGTTTGACTTACCGCCTTCCACAACAATCCCAGCCAACGCCCCCTTGCTAAGACCTGAGCTGCAAGTGGACGCAGCCCGTGCCATTGCAGGTGCAAGCATGAAGACGACAAATGAATGATGCCGCATAGCGAGTAGTAGCAGATAGAGTGCAATAGATAGACTTTCCTGAGCAGTAGACACGAGGTCGTGATGTAGAAGGAAGACAGCGCAGTTGAATGTGGAACTGCGGGGGATCGTTGTATTAGGGCAGTGCGGCCGCGGGTGGGAAGGTAGTATAAATAGAGCAGAACGGGTGCACTGCGACAGCGCCTGGAGGCGGGAAGAAATCACCGAAACGCGAGTGTGGCCGCCATGCCGCCCGCAGCAGCGACAAATCTGCCTTGCGGCATGGACGCAGACAGCACTCCATGCGTCTACGCGAGACGAGACGACCGCGACGCCACCGCCAGCCTGTTCTCGGCTGTCCCGGCACAGACGCGCCCACGTGGCTTCCGTCGCGTGCGTCACGTGGAAACGCGTCGACCGCGACGCGTTGATTTAGCGGAGCTCGAAACCGTGGCAACTCCGCCAAATAAGATTCTCCCCACCGTCGCTCTCCCCTTTCTTTTCTCCAACCTCCAGTGTTGCGACCAAAGACCCCTTGCTTTGGGTCCGCATTGGCCATTGTAGCTCGCCATTAAGCAACTCCAACAACAATAGCCAACTCACCGACAACTAACAATGCAGTCGCCACGCGTCACTCGCAGTGGCACCGTTCTGGGCAAACGGGCTCATCAGCTCACGACAGAACCGTCGACTCAGCCACAATGCGATGGTTTGGACGGCCACTTGCTCATGACACCGGACCCCACCCCTAACCCAAAACGCGTACGAACTTCGGTGTCGGTTCTGGACGGCGACGGGAATAAAGAGAATATTCCTCCATACATTGGCGAGATTCTCGGTATTTCGCCTTCTCCAAGGTCAATGCGTTCGCTCCGTCGAAGAAGCACAGAGATTATCGCTTCGGCCGATTCTCGCAACCGTACGTAATTTTCTAGTAGCCAGTGTTTTCGAATGCTGACAGTTCGGTCTAGTTCGCCGGCATGCATCCATGTCAAATATCCGTGCGCTCCCTGCCACGCCCGCATCGGCGATGGGCAGCCTATCTTTGGCTACCCCGCCATCTACGCCTCCATCGCTGTTACCCCTGCACGTTAGAGCGCGCGCTCTATTGCGCCCAACATGCAATGATGCGACTCACATAGCTGGTCGACAGAGCGAGCGAGATATCATTCAATCCTTCATTGAACCGTTTCTTCGCTCCCGTGAAGTTATCGAGGACTGCCCGCCCGTACTGTATATATCGGGTGCACCCGGAACAGGCAAGACAGCGCTCGTCAACGCCATCGTTCGCCCGTTCCTCATCGATGCTGACGAGTTTGTCAAAGTCGTGTCTATCAATTGCATGGCTCTTGATGGCGTAGAGTCTGTGTGGGCCCGAATTTCGGAGGCATTGGGCGAGGATACCTATGCTAAAACTGTCAGACGCAACCGGAAGCAGAAGGAATCTGCCTTGAGTTTTGTAGGACGATTCCTTGCTCTGTCTGATGTCAAGTGGTAAGTGTACCCTTCGTAATGAGGCATCCTTTGTTAATTGAGATTTGATTTGTCTAGCATACTCGTCCTTGACGAAATGGATCACGTCATTTCCAGTCAACAGGAATTGTCCACGGTCTTCTCTCTTGCCCGCCAATATCCGGGCAAAATTCGAATAATTGGCGTGGCGAATACTCATACACTAACATCTTCATCTTCCTCAACCTTATCTGTCGAATCCATGAAGGACGTGAAGACCATTCATTTTGCCCCCTATACGCCCAAACAATTGCTTGAGATTCTCATGTCGCGTCTAACGCCACTATCGGAGGCTTCCGCCGAAGCCGAGCATAGGGCAAAAGCCTTTTTGCCCTCTCAAACGCTTTCATTGCTTACGAAGAAAATCGCGGCTCAAACGGGAGACGTACGCGCCGTATTTGAGGTCCTTCGCGGTGCAATCGACCTCGCTGTCGCCGCAACGACTACCTCTGATGTCCTGGATGCACCTCCTCCTGTTGTCACGCCCTCGCATATTTTAATCGCGTTGAAAGCACACGCTTCCGCCAACGTAGCCTCGCCCTCGATCAAACCCTCCATGGCGTCCATATCGACAAGGAAGATCTCCGACAGCGAGACAGTCACGAAGGTTCAGGAGTTGGGCCTTCATTCGCGTCTGGCCTTGCTCTCCATGATGTTGGCTCGGAAGCGGCTTGAGGCGGGACTGCCTCTCTCTGCGTCGACTTCTGTAACAGCCACCCGCACACCGGTCAAGCGGTCAACATCCGTGAACACATTGGCAACTTCCAACAAAGCCAATGCCCTCGACGCCAATTGTCTGCACGCGTTTTACTCGACAATCCTTACCCGTGGTGAAGGCTCTCCATTCGTCCCTGTTTCGCGTAGTGAATTCGGCGACCTCCTGGGAGTGCTCGAGACTGTCGGCCTTCTGATGCTCTCATCGGGCTCCATCTCGCCGAGTTCACCGTCGAAGGGCGGAAAGCGTGGGTTGAGCCGTTCGACATCGTTCAACCTGCATGCGAGCAACGCAGCCACGCAAGACGTTCGCTTCGTTGAAGGCACTAGATTGGAGGAGATAGCCCGCGGCCTCGGGATATCCGACGCACAAACCGATGCTGCGACAAATATCCGAGAGGAAGAAGTGCGCGCCATCTGGCACCGTGAATGCAGCCGCATTTCGAAGGACGCTAAGACGTCTATAAGTCCAAGCAAGGCGGACCTCATTGAGGGTGCTACCACCTCATAGGACACTCATCTCATCACGCTGCATATTTTAACATCTTATCGTGCTCCATGTGTACTCGATTCCTGCATCATTCTCCAATCCGCAGTTCCCTAGTCTGTCTCGCTGTCGTAGTTTTGTCGTACACCTAAATGTCTGTTTGTCATGTTCGTTCAGGACTTGGAGTCGGATGTCATGCATTCGTCTAGTTACGCACTATCTCCCTGTAACGTCGCATCACCATCTCACTAGCAATCAATGATCAAGCAATTATCTGTCTGTATACTATGGATACATAGTGGAAATTCAGTGACGAGAATGTATTCGTGACCACCAATCTGCCATATCGAGGCGCAGGAGGAGGTCTTGCCAATCTCCGGTCACTCCTTGTGCTTTGGTGGATTGGGATAATAGTCCATGCGGTTCATCTGCAGATACACCAGACGACCCTGCACCCCTATCAACTAATGCCTTCAGCACTCTGACCTAGTAGCACAAGGTATTCAGGACGAGGAAGTCGATGATACATGAAGCAACTCACCAGCGTTGCCATCCTAGAGCTGAAACGCGCCCACAGGTCCTCCAGAGGTCCCGCCGCCTGATACTCCTCCATACGCCCTCGGTAACGTTCGCCAGCGAGGATACCCAACTCCAGTATCAGCTCGATACAATTCCGGAGCACATCGCCCACCGCCTTTTGCCCCGATCTCAACAGACAAGCGCTCAGGATGTTGTCCAACACTTGCGCATGGACCTTCGCGAGAGCGAAGATGTCGGAAAACCCGGGTTCAACCTGTGCTGCCGAGCTCTCTTTCTCCCGGGAAGATAGGGCATCTAGGAGCGCGTCAAAGCGGCCACGAATGGCCTTGTCGTACACATAGGACGATAGTGATGCAAGGAAAGACTGAGCGACGAAACCGAAATGCAGCACCAGTCTATTGGAGTGCGTCAACGTAGGAAACAAGGGACGGTCGGTCTTGCGTGTCATTCGGAATAACGCCGCAACTACATTGGTGACTAAACGACGTCAGCGAACGTGGCAACGTCATATATTATAAATGCACCTCTCATTAGCCGCAAATTGAATGCAAATATCCGATGATATTTTGAGAGAACGACAGGGTTCAATACGACGTCCAAAGGCTTAGGTGGACTATAATTCATATACAGGAAGTCGAATGCTCTGTAGCAATGGTGATTAGACACAAGGTTGTTGCGGTTCATGTTCACACTCACTCTATTGCTGGTAGCCGAGAGACTGTCAGCGCGAGATTTGGGAGGACAAATGGCGTGACTCCTACATAGGGGATTGAGCCATCTTTCTCTGCCCGTATTCACTGGTAGATCTCGTAGTGCGAATCCCAATCTAGATTCCGCCTCGTGCACGATTCGCTCATAAGCTGAGCTTTCGTTCGACTGGTCGATTGTATTCATCAAGGTGTCGATGATCACTGTTCGAAGCCGGAAGCTGAGCTCTGCACCGCCTGGTGGCCAGTCACCGCTAGTTAACGAGAGCGAAATACCGACAGCCCACGTATCGGACGTTTTCGCATCAGCTTGCAACGACCTCTTTGTCGCGGCTGTCCGACCACGGCCTGCAAGTACATTTATACACGACGGTAGGATTTGCTCAGCGGAGTCCGAGAATAGTGCTGCTTCTAATCGCGACTTGAATGCATGAGAAGTGAGCAAGAGGTAGGATCGGAGAACGCCCAGGTGAAGGCGCAGATTGAGATGGGAGGAAGGTGATAAGAATATGGAGAGCAAAGCTTCAGATAAATTGTTGATGTGTAGGACCAAAGGCGACAGTACGAGATCAACTAGATGCGGCATTGTAGGCGTCAGCGAAGGAAGCGAGCTCGGGAACCGATCCAGGAACATGCGCAGATGGGCTGCCTCTGAGCATGCAGCCGACGGTGTCAAATAAGTCCCGGGATCAAGGTCGAAGACTGCGAGATTCTTCAACTCGTCTTTGTACGACCTCCGCTTTGTATCATTTTCAGAGGAATTTGATACAACGGAAGTGATGGGAGTAGGCGGTGTCGGGAGACTGCGTCCAGTCCACGCAGACATCACGTCGTCAGTCGTCCAGATCCATTCTATGGTCGGGTAGTGTTGCCGAGATGTAAAGAAGGGATGCCTCGGGTCAGCATCGTGGAGGAGCTTCAGGGATCGTCTGGCAAGGGGAAGGGCGTCTGCGATTTCGGACATGAAGGCAGGGATACCTTCGCTGTCTTGATTACGGTCATCCATCGCATCGTCGAGTATGTCCGGATTCTCTTCTCGAAATATGTCAGGGGCACTATCGACAAGCTCGATATCTTGTGCCAAGGGGAGTCGTGACGCCACGCTACTATTTGGGTTATAACCGACCGATAGGCAAGTTTGTAAGAAGTAGTCTTCAGAGCTGACGGTGAGGATATACGCAAATGTTGCCGTCACAATTCGCGAGGATTGCGTCTCTAAATGATCAGTCAAAAAATAGTAAACCTTTGACAGAACATCCGAGGCTGAATTTGGCCAATGAGTGTAATTTATGGGTAAGGCATTCATTTCCTGTGTCCGTGGCGATGAGAAGCGAATATAATTCACAGAAAGATCGTACCCTGTGACACAAGGACGACAATGAGCGCAGGATCTCCTCCACATCGGCAAACTTTAGCCAGAATGCTGTTAATGACACAGGCGTTTGTGAGTCGCTCACGGTCTCGGAGTATGGAGGTGAGCAAGCTCTGAGTATCAGCTGCCGGATCTCCAATAGAACAGTAGACAGCGCGTGCATAAAAGAATGGACGACTGGCGAGACTCGGTCGACACTGCAGGCAAACGTGAGCAGGCCTGACTGGAGCCACAACCATGACATTCACCTGGATGCAAAGCCGCCAACAAAGTTCTCTAAGCGGCGTGATGTGGCTCCAATGACAAGAAACCGCTCGACCAGACTGAGTTTATGATGTGTTAGGAGAGACGACACATCACATACATAGAAATTACCTCCGGCTCACGACCTCGTCTGTTCCAGTCAGAATAATTGTTCCCGTCACCCCGTTTGGAGTGTCGCGCAGCACAAACGTCTCGGATCCGGGATCCCAGATGTGCAAGTACGAGGATACCCCGGCAAGGGTTGAACTCAGACATTCAAGCAGAGTTCCTGGTGCGACGTAGACCAGATGTACATTCGGATCTCGAGCTGGTGGTCGCACACTACCGAGACTAAGTTACTCCGGTACGATTGACAATGTTGCCAATTTGCTCACATGTATCGGACAGACGCGAAGACCTCGTCGTTTTGCTGGCATAAAAAAGTCGAAGGTGTTATTTTACAGCTTCTATTCCGATGGAGCGTGTCCCACGACATCAAGCGGCTCTTATGGAACGCTCAGCTGAAAACTCAGGGTCCTACTCGAGGCACACACCGATTGAGGAGGCTCTTGCATTGCGAGTTGTTCCCATATCTTGTGTTGCGCATGTAAGTCTACGTCCTCAGATCGCAGACACACAGAGGATTCCGCATCAGTGAGCGCAGTAGTCTCATGTTGGGGTGTCTCAATTTGCTTATGGGAGGGGGCCGATAGGTTCAATGTGTCCATAATCGGGTTCTGAGGTTTGTCCGCCAAACGCGGGATAAAAAAGGCGGGCCGCACATCTGGAAGTGTACGTTCTTCCCTCGTATACGCGTCCAGAGACGGGAGCGGCGACAAGAAGTGCCTCATGATGAACGATGCCGTCGTCGTCGACAACGGGATGGTGGTGGCGGAAAGCAGCTCAGTCGCGTCGCGTCGCGTCACGCGTGACAGGGTGGATATCAGACGCGTCCGACATCACGAGCGCGTTGTTTATTTGTTGTTGCAACTTCCCTCTACGCCTGTCCTCGGCTCTTCTCCACTCTCAACCTCGTCCTTCGCCTCCTCACCTCCGCCCTGCCACTTTTCTTGCATAGATATTGTCTATATTTGCGGCCTAATCCGTATCAGCATATGGCCACATTAACCCGCAATCCGTTATCCATGCGACCTCATACGCAACACCAGTCCGTTTCCATCCCGCCCTACCAGCCGGCTGGCCGGAAGCCTGCTGCTGTCAAACGCGCTCACTCCCCGGAAAGCGGAAGAGACGATGGCCAAGTTCAGAGTGCCAAGCGCCTCAAACCCATCCCCGATGAGCCTGGCCCAAGCAATGCGCGCGAGGAGGCAAGGAGAGAGAAGGAGCGCAAACGTGCGGAGCGCGAGGAAGAGTTCAGGATAAAGTACAGGCGTGCCTTCCCTAACTGGGTTTTCTACTTCGACCTGGACGCCCTCGGGCCGGACGTCGCCACTATGCGCGACACTTTGGAACGCAGGGTCCTGTACATGGGCGCGGTGTGTATGGGCTTCTTGCACTGATCCTCTTACTGATGCATCGATCTTTCGTGCTCTCGTGTTCCACGTATAGCGCGTCGATGACTTCTTCTCTAAAGATATTACGCATCTCGTCACACTTCAGACGGAGGACGCCGACAAGGAAAACTCCACAAAACCAGAGCAACCAGGCCTCTCTTTAGGCAGTCCGATACGGCTCAGGGGACGGTAGGTATCGTATTCTTGCTCAGTGCCGTCCTCACTAATGCATGCATCAGCATGGCAAACGAGCTGCCCATGCCTGCATCGGACCATCTTACAAAGAAAGCACTCGCCTTTGGCATCAAAGTCTGGAGCTCTGCAAAGCTTGAGAACGTACTTGATCGCTGTTATGCACCCGCGGCTCCGAGTAGGACTGCTTCTCGCGCCGTCTCGGTCGCACCCAGAGGACGTACCTTGTCTCGCTTGCTCGACCACGAACGCGTGCATGGTACTACCACCGAACGTGACCCGACTGAAAAGCGGCATGACTATACTTACTTCTCGAAGGGCTCTTGTTTTGTCCTAATCGAGGACATGCGACAAGAGCTTGCTACTGTTGCCGCGTTCGAATACCCACCTGCGAAGAGCCGCGATGGAAAGGAGAAGCCCACCTGGCCTGTTCTGTATTTAGATCATCGGGCGAGAGGTCCCTTCGTCCCATATGACGAGAAGGAAGAGCGTCAGCGCAAGAAGGCAGATAGAATGGATCGCGAGCGAGAGGAGGAGCTCGCACATAGAAAAGCGCAGCTGGAGCAGGAGCGTCGGAGACGGACACAGGCCATGCAGCAGGCGAAACAGCATGACCTGCGGCGATCTGTGTCCATGAGCAATCTCCGCCGCCGAGCGTCGTTCCACGACGCTGGCGTGGAGGGCTTTGTTGATCTCGACGCGGATATTGGCGATGCAGAGTCCGCAAATGCCTCGGGATATCTCGCCTCGGGTGCGTATATGGCTGCATCGGGCAACAGCGTCAACATCACGTCTGCGACGGGAACGACCTCGACCGCTGGTCATACCATTCGAAGCCTCCATCTACCGGTTGGCCTGAGAGGACGACTACAGCAGCAAATCGTAACGTCACGAAGGTTCATCAATCCGACGGAGGGCAAGGAGAACATGATGGGCCCGCCACCTACCATTCCTACTAGGATACACGCATTGCGGAAGAGCCGCAGTACCAACACGATGCGATTGCCTAAGCGCGAAGAGGGCATGAAGCCGGGTTACTGCGAGTGTTGTAGGGTGAAGTTCGAGGATTTTCGGACGGTGCGTTGGCGTTCCTGCATTCACCAGTGAACGAACGTCTGAGGTTTCTCCCCTGCACTGTGTTCAGCATACTGAAGGTCGCAGACATCGCAAGTTCGCGACGGACGACTCGAACTTCGTTCAGCTTGACTATCTCTTGCAGCGCGTGCAGCGCCGTACTGTCGAGGAAGTCCAAGAGGAGAAGCGGAAGTGGGCATCTAGATTCTCCCTCGGTGCAGAGGTTGCTTATGAGGACGTTGTGGACGATGGGAACGCGCATGACCCCATGTCCGAAGATGATGTACGATGGATCGAGTGGGTTGATGACCGTGAGGTGTAGGATGAAGCTCTCAACTAATTGTCTCTTGTTTCTACCGGTTTTCATGAATTCCTTGGGTCTGCAATACCTGTATACAAGCACCACGATCGATACTTTATTATTTGCAACACATGCCTATTTTCACGTCACATCATGATACATATTCACTCCATCCCATTCTTGACTTTTTAACTGTACTCCCACGCACTATACCCTTCATCATGATGAAAGTTCGGACATCGTACGTACGCAAAATGACGGCATGCAACTCCTGTAACTGAAACTGTGGTATACTTCTCATGACGCCGTGACAGTCAGCAATGTTACAATACCGTCGATCGAGATGTCTTGGGACATGGTGAGCATGGTCAAGAGAGAACGGTAAGCAAATCATACTGTGATTAACGCCTGCGCTGCCTGCGGGCATCAGGCCAGTGATGTTCTGTGCGGTGGTGGTATATGTGACGCCGTTGTTGCTAGTGGTACCGAGCGCGGCCGTGACGAATTGATCACTGCGAAGTCGAGCCGTGTCAGCCACTCATCTAGGGACGAATGCAGATGCAACCAACCGTCCGATATCGTAACCGTTGGGTACAATGGTGTGACCCTCTTCGACGTCTTCTTCTTTTGAGACGCTAGTGAATCGTGATGATGATCTACTAGCAAACGGTCGCAAACGAGTTCAAACATACGCTAGGAACAGGGCGCCACTGTCAGCGCTGGTGCCATTCTGTACAAACACCCTGCGTTGATCTCTGTCGGCGTCCACTTCGTGATTAGGATTGAAATGACCCGTCACCTGAAGTGATTGCCCCCGATCAGACTCTCGAGACAGGTGCCAACGCCAGTGCTTCCATAGTCTTCGCGCATCTCGATGGTCTGGTTCACCCAGCCATTGCCGTCACCAAGGTTTGCGCTCTGCGGCCCGCCCAAATGAATACCGAGACATTCCGTTGAGCTATGAACGGAATTGAGGTCAGATCGTGCATGTAGGTAGCCAAGGACGTTGTGGTCAAAGACAACTCACAAGCCGATGGCCTGCGCGAAATTGATTATGCCAGCTTCGTTGAGTACCTCTGATGAGCTCTCGCCGGAGATAATGACCTAGTGAGAACCATGAGTAGAATGAAGCTTGACCGGACGACATTCTCACGTTCAAGGGTTCGCCCAAGCCATCGCCAGCATTATCGAGCATCGATCCACCGCCGTGAGCGGGGTCGTAGTAAGCAACGCCAGCTCTCTTAACGACCCCAGCGACGGCGGGCAACGCAAGAAGGCCGAGTTTGAACAGCGCAGAGACGAACATCATGCTAGACCGGAGGTGCGCTAAGAGACACTGGGATAGAGCTTGAGAGAGAATAGATGAGCTCTAAATACATCCTCGGTAGCAATGGGCCCAGAAAGTACGCCAATCCTGCCGACGAAAAGGGACAGTAAAGCGAAAGTACTGGACATGTGAAGCGAATAATATCTCCTGCCGACGGGACCATATGGGAGACCCCATAGGAACCTTCGCAGAGCAGGTCCCATCTTCGCCCTCCTGGTCACCCAAAGGCCGTGTTTCATGTGACATGCACGCACCTGCCCATATAGCATGCGTCGTTCTTGGTTTCGCTCTCCCATAGTGGTGTGAACTGCAACCGATTCGAAAGATCGTGATCGTCCGCGCGATCTTGCTTCATGCTGTATTTCGCACGTTGCTCCAGCGCTCGCATCACGTTCGTCACGGAACCCTAGCAGAACGGGCGGTTTCAGGGCGGTTGCTGGCACGTTGTGAATGAGCTCACCCGAGTGTCATTGGTGTCCTTCCACGCTGAACCACTCAGATAAGCGCAGTATGATGACAGCGTCCACATGTGAATATCGGGACGGTGTGAACAAGCTCTTTGAATTCGCATATTTCGGAAGTCCGAAGCGTAAGCCCATTGGGATCTCTGCGAGCATGATTATCGCTATATGCTCGCTCACGAATGCACATGGGACAAAGGCCAAGGCACCTAGTATGATATGTATGTACTGACAGGATCAGATCGCTGTGTGTGCTCTTGTTGAGCCCAGTCTCTCACGCTCTACTGTGTTGTCATGGTGGACCTCGAAATCTCTTTGATCCGTTGTTGGATTACAAAACATGGGGAACGTTCGGGGAGTTACACAGCTCGTATGCGCATCATGGGCACTTACAGGCTCAGTCAGCGAAGGGGGAAATTTCAGTGATCTCGACGGATGACACAGACGATCAAGAGCACTCTACATCTAAGCGCTCCCTCATTTCCACACGTCGTCGCTCAACGAACTTGGTGGTGCGATACACAACACTTCTGAAGGTTAGGTGATGCCACGAATCCGATGGCATAAGCGACAATTGCCCCCGTGACGGCGGCGTGACTATCATGTCTAGAGCTACTGCGTTTACGTGTCTGGCAATGTGCAATTGACACGACGGCGATGAGTGAAACCGGGTTGTGTGTCATTGACAGACTCTATCGAGGATACTAGGAGAGAGAAGTGGACGCTAAGCAACGCTTGTTGACGACTTTTGGCCATGTCAGGCTGAAGGGCGGTTGGTGTTGGTTCGGCCATGTAAGGCAACTAGGAACGTTCGGCCATCTCCGGAGGGACCTTCTGAAAGGTTACGTGGATCAACACCGTCCTCCGTGGTTCGTGTTGAGCTTGCATTTCGCCCGACTTCAAGGGCTGCTGGCACCCATTTGGGCGGCGATATCCCACTCAGACCACCATATTAACGATCGACCAGTCAGTCTGTGCAAAATATCTCCCACAATCCTCAGCTCCTCCGGGTGACCATCAAGTCACAGTCACGCTTAGTAGGTTCGTTGCACGTTTCGCCAAATTTGGTTTCTTGTCTGTACGACCCTTCACGCGGTCGTCCGACTCGACAAAGACTTTCGGTGTGCGCCGCCCATGTAATTACACCACACATTGCTGACACTTACCTTCTGCTCATGCAGATTTCCTGCTGCTCTACACAGTCTACTGCACAAATTATAGCAGTGCTTATCTCATCCACACGTCTCAATCGCGGTCACCCCTAGTCCACCTCACAGCCCTCCCACAATCCTCACCATCTCACGCCATAGGAGGCACTCCTCGCGTCTCTCTCCTCTCTCCTCGTCTTTTTCCAAAGACAAAGCATTACTATGACGGACTCTCCAGACGGCTCGGAGTCTGTAGGCGATTCTGGGGACGACAGTCAGCTCACCATCAGAATTCCGAATCCCAAAGTCTACTTGGCTAGACAATCTCAGTGGAAGGGTAGAAGAGGGAAGCCACGATGTGATCACTGCCGTTTGAATAATTTGAAGGTGAGTGGCGACTTGCTACTTAGTTCATCAACTTAATGTCCCGGGTAGTGCGACCGCGTTTTACCAACTTGCAACCATTGTGCCTATGCTAATGGGCGAGAGTGCAAGTACACGCCTCTACCTACTCCCGCTCACAGAGGTATACCTCGATGTGACCGATGTCGACTTCGGAATCTCAAGGTAAGCTTTAAATCAGGTCTTGCATACCAGACAAATGTGGCTGAATCCGTCTGGCATCAGTGTGACAGGAATCTTCCTGTATGCAATCATTGTGCCGACGAAAGTGAGACGGAATGCAACTACACGCCGAAGAAGCGGCATAAGGTGCCAACCGATCACGTAGCGACTAAGGACCGGGTTGTCACACCATATACAGCCAAGACCGCCTCATTCCTTGTGTCTGAAGGGGGTGAAGGAGATTCTGATGGCGGTCAGACCAGCGGTCCGTCTGGCGGTCATGCTGCAGACGGTGAGGCCAAGCCAGATTCTCAGAATAAACAACCCCCTCCGGGTTCACCTAAACCGGTTGACGGCGATGTCCCCATGGATGCAGAAAGCGAGGTATTTGAGCAGATAGGTCCGGACGGCTCGACTACCTGGGTCCGCAAGATTGCTCTTCCGCCTTTGTCCTCGAAGTCTTCTTCAGCCCTTGGGCAGCTCTTTCAACGCCCTTTCGTCCTCGATCAAGGGATGATCGTTACCACGCCACACATTGATCCCTGGATGCATCCGGCATTTGCGCCCCTTCCGGATACTATCATCCAAACGCTGGCTTCCGTGAATGCCATCGAGATGCCTACTAGGCATCTTTATGACGAGGCTCTTTTTCGCTTCATCAGTGGGCTGTCACCAGAGCTTCGAGAAACAGCAGCATTCCCCATGGATGTCTACGCAGATGTCGCACATGCCATCACTGAAGGGAACGTCTCCAATCTATCTCCGCGCTTACAACTTTGGTCAGCATGCCATCACGCTCGATCTGGCTCCCGCAAGCAGCATCTCCTATTGCTTCCTCGCGACGCCTTCTACAGCATGAACAGATTCGACGAAGAGCGCTTGAGAAAACAGTACGTGGCACAGGTCGACGGCGACCCCGTCAAACCAGAGCAGTCCACGGATTCGGCAATGGGTACCTTGGACCCGGGCGCTGTCTTTGAGCGGCTACCCGTTCAGCCACAGATTTACGACATCTTGATTTATGCGCATCGGAATCACGCTACATCGCACGCCATGCTTTACGAAGCGCGCCGGAATGGTTTCGTGAGTGAAACTGTTATATAGTTATGTGCGTTCTGACTTTGCATACGTAGGCTACCATCACTTGGCCTATAGTGGAGCTATTCCACAGACTATGCCCGTTGTGCAAGATGCGTTCCAAGGGACCGCACCGTGCTGTAGCCGAGGACGATGCAGCGCCGCGCCAGCAGGTTGCAAAGCGATGATCATGACGTGCAAAATTCATCATGTCGGTGTCTTAGGCGCAGGCTATCTGCGCGTGTTTGGAATCAGAGCGACTGTAGCATTACATCTACTGCTATTTGTTATCTAGCACTATCTTTGGTAATGCATTGTACTATGTTGCCTTGTCACTCACTGTCGAGAAGCTCGCGTACGGACCTCATGTAGCGCACAGTGCTAGCTTCAGCTATCACCGATATATCTCTACACATCATCTTCAATAGTGAACGCTTGTAGTCTCCGCGAAATGAACGAGCAGCTTCCATGTAATATCAACCATGAAAAAATATGAGAGCAAATAACTTGCCGTGTCTACGTGTTGTTCACGGCCGTTGGCTGTCGCGGCCGAGCTGGGCTCCTGCCAGTGACGGCCGAGAAAACGAGTCTGAATCGAAGGGTCGGTTACACCGAGTCTCGGAGAAGGTCGACGGGAACATACGAGAAATAATACATTCCTGGTCTTCCTGGTCCGTCATGCGTCGACTCCAACCAAGGGGAGAGTTCTCTGAACGTTGAAACTTGCGTCGAGTACAATACCTATGATCGAGATCGTCTTTCGAGCGCCCATACCGCTTCCGGCATTTTCCGACGTAGACATGGTTTGTTCAAGTGACGCACGTTTTGGCAAGATATTCCGCTCCTCTCAACATCTGTGGAAGTTTGCTTTTATCATGTCTGTCAAACCTCTCAGTGACAACGCGTGTTCAAGGCACTCCCGCCGATGTAGCTCAGACCTGGCTGTACCACACATCCGCGTCAGGTAGATGATCCTGGACGGCTGTAGTTCGCATGAATGTCCACTTGAGAGACTCGGGTGACTTGTATCTGTGCGAACTTTTGCCTTCATGTGTTAGTACAAGCAATAATGTGAGCGCATTTCTCAAGTCGTTCCCGCAGCTCACTCAGTATCTGAAACGTTACCCAGTGCTACGAGTACTCCTGAAAGGACTGGAGGCCAAGATCGACACTAAGCCTTATACTTGTGCGGAACGTCAATAAGCCTACTCCTGGTCTCACGCGGCTGTGGCGGACATCACAGCTGTACCTATCGCGGCGCCGTAACCGCTAAGTGTCAAAGTGTAATAAGCGCAGATTATCGCCGTCCTGAGACCGGTCATTGCCACCAATCTTCCTTAGCCACTTTTTGCGGATTCCCACATGATTGACAATGCCTTCATATCGCGTACGCTCAGATCCGCGTTGCTCTGCCGCTCTGTGCACGTCGCGCGCTATCTGTCGGTTTCATGTCGAGCAATGCCCATTTGTTCTGAATACCACCAGTTCATCTCTGGGCGCACTTCAAACCCGACATTACTGCGCATGAGGGCTTTTCATCGATCGAAACATGTCGATCCCTGTGCATCAGCGGCTGCGGGATGAGGAGATCCATGCGTACTACAAGAACCCTTCCCGTCGCCGCCTGCCATCCTCGCGATGCCGCACCTCATCATCGCTCTTGATTAGCACCGATGTGGCTCACTACACCAAATGCAGCCGAACTATTGATACCCTTTGAAGGTGCGACATCTTTTACAGCAATCTTTGCCGCATTCCACTCCCGCGATGCAAAGGCTCTTGTTCATAATTCACACTCAACGTCACGATTCCCGCTCCCATCTGTTCGAAGAACTTCAGCAAAGCCCGCAGCTTCTTACGTCGGCTGCGCTCGCTGCCGCACGCTCACAGAAGGCCAGCCAGAACAGCAGTATTTATGACAATACAGCGGTCGTTCTCATCCATCGTACTCAGCTCGTTCCCTCTGCAACACTGTCATGTCCTTTATTACTCCTACACCCACCCAGTTTCCCGCTCCCATCGGCGGCGTGCCTTTCCCTCACGATTTTGGTCCGTCCGTGTTCTTCGCGGTTCTTTAACGCTCTGCGTTCCTCTCGTATTCTTCCGTCTCATCCACAAGCGGTCGCGCATGTTTGTGATCATCGGAACGATGTCGTTCACAATCGAACGGTGCGTTTTCCCTCGCCTCTGCATACAATGCTACCAACTCACGTGTTTCATTGTGCACTCGTGCAGCATCATCGATTTCTCGCTGCGCGCCATAGAATCACGCAACGCCTCCGATCGCGTCTCGAAGTTCTTCATTTCTTGGCTACAGACTACATACGCGGCCGGTTTCATCAGCATTGGCCAGGACCTCGCCATTGTCGCCCGCACTTACCTCGTCCACACTACAATGGGGAGCATCGACAAACCGATAACGCCTTTCAGATCCACGGATCAGCCAGAGGCACCGCTGACGAGTTACTATGGTGACTCAGCGTCCTCGAGCTCGTCGGGATACAGGGACCTGTCTTTGTCTGTGGACGAGGCGGACCGCGAGGACGAGCTTCGCCGCCGCTTCTGGATCCGCCGCTTCACGGGTTCTCCAGCATGATCTACTGGTCGGCTGTCATTGTCGCGACAGTGTCCGGTGGCACGTACTACGCGGGCGAGACCAACACAAGCCAGGCCCAGCTCACACAGCAGACAAGGTTTGTAGAATCCATATACGCAATGATGACAATGCTCATTAGATTCAATAGGATTGCAGCGACCATCATCGCCTTGATCCTTCTTCAAGTCACGAACTGGGTTACGATCGTGGTCTGGTGGACGAGCCGGGGGCGCGTCCAGCTTATGCCTGTGCTAATTATATGCGCCGATGCAAATCTACTTGTACGTGTATCTGACCTTGCTCATGTTTGTTTTGCTAATTGTGATGCTTTAGACCGTGACATGTATCTATCGGCTGTCAGTCATGCCGTTCCAAACTACCAACCTACTCTCCATGGGATCGCACTCGCTCAATACGCCCTTGGAGAAGGCGGCATTCTACGCTTTCCACATCGCACCAGAGTGGATCGCTGGTGCGATTCTGCTTTGTGTGAATGTCAAGGAGATGTTCCACACCGGTCTGACGGGCGATTGGCGGTCGACCGATAGTCACTTAAAAACCAAACCGTAGGATTCTGAGAACGCGACATTGGACAGCTCTTGTACGCTGTCCCTTGCCAGTCGGATGGCCTATATATGTATGATACGTGTGATTCATTCATAGCCCACTATTCAACATTCACTCGTTACGAGGAAGCGGCATGCAGAATTATTTCTCATTCAATATCACTCGCCGATTTTCATATGTTTCGGGAGCTAAATTCACGAGCTCATCATGCATGAGCTATTACGCCCTGTTTCCTCTGACACAGCCTAGGCTCCTATCCCATGATACCTCAGGCTACATGCACCCCTTGCGACTTTTGTGTTAACCTTCTTATGTAGGCCACACGAAGAAAAGCTGGTATTCCATGGCATAAAGTGAGTCTAAATTGTAAGTGTTTCGCGACATGGGGTTCACGTTAGCTTGTAGTCTCGCTACTAGAAGCGACTCTGGCGAAAAACAGCCTGCATCACACCGCCGATACCACAAATCTCGCGGGCCGATTGTCAATACCAGTGAATCCAATGCTGTGTGCCAGTGCAATCTACTAGTAACATAGCGTGCAGCTGGACAGCCATTGCTTTCCAAAGGTCACCTTTGGTCACTATCCTCTCTCTCATTGTCCTCAGTTTTCATACTCCGCGAAACTCTTCTGCTTGTTCCATTTGCGACCTCGAGTGGCTCGATACGCTTTCGCATCACATTCACGAGAGAGAACGCGTGTATGTAGCGCAGCGCTTTGTCCCGCGACTTGCCGAGCGATTTGGCCACAAATGTTCATCATTCAATATAAAAGGTACTCGCTTTCTGTCGCTTTCCTCACCTCCTACTTCCTCCCTCTCCCCCTCTTGTGGCGAGGCCATCGCTTCGTACACACAAACCCTCAACGCTTCAAATGATCCAACTCATTGCTAAGTTATTTGTTGTCTGCTCCTCATGTGGTTTCTCTGTTGTTGCTTTTTCGTGGGCGGTCGCTATTGTGGCTGAGGCTTCCCGTCTTTGACATTTACTGTCGTGTCTTCCATATGTCGTCGTGCTCACCCTGTTGCTTGTATTCTTTGTTTCCCTTTTGTTTTCTCTTTCTTTTTGCGCCACATTGCGGACCTTGCCGCAACAAGTCAGTGGGCTGTCTCCGGCCATTTCTGTCTTTAGGCGACATTTTCTGGGGCATGTCTGGTCTTCCTGACACTCTGTGGCTTGTGGCACTCTAGATGTCTTGTCTGTCCTCTAGCTGCTGTGTTCGTCTGGCATGTCTCCTCAAGACTCGCCATCCTCAAGGCTCGACACCTGCCGAGACCGAAATCTATCGCGCGAAAGGTTCCAGTACATTCGTCAAGTCTCGGCTACGCTAACGGCTACAGTGCATGGCTCCAGCGACGCCACAATTCAGCCTCGACCAGTAAGAAATCTACCTCTGGGCACTCGCTGTCATTTGATTGGCGGAGTGGCACAGCAATTGCTGAGACTTGGGGTGAGTGCCCTAATTTGTCTTCAATCGTCGTGGTCGTCTGACATCCTGTGCCTAGGCGACCATCCGTGCCTGCTGTCTGTCTGAGCTTGAACCGACTACTGTCTGCTTGAACAAACTACTCTCTGCTCGGACTGACTACTGTCTGTGGCTGTCTCGATCGTTCGTCGCTTGCTTCTTCCGCTTTCCCTACGCTTGATCCGCTTCAGCCCCAGGAAGATACCTATGCTCTATGCCACACCTACTGTGCGACCGTAGGGACGTATTGGAAATCTTCAGTTTTCAGTGAGTGTACAATATGCATCATCGCCACACGCACCTGACATTCATTAGCTAGGCTACTTCTTTAAATTATGGTCTGCTACCACTCGTGGACTTGTCTGCGTCACTTGGTTCGTCTATGTTTAGCTGCTCTGGGCTGTCTTGCTGTCGACATTCATTATGGCTACGGGCTTGGGCTCGCGTCTGCTCTAGAGCTAGTGGTCATCTCGCCGACATTTTAAAGGTGATAGCCCGTCGCTGCTGACAACTTCTTGCCGGTGATGTTCGCCCCCTACTTCTCACTTTCTGCTTTGCCTTCTTTCGTGCACACTTTGTTGCCGGGGGTCCTCCTCAGCGACGCTTTTGGTTCTGAGAAACGTATATCAACCTGGCTGACAGATTTGGGGATGTTTGGTACCTGTGCGTGACGGTGAGTCCCCCTTTGTAGTCGAACAGCTCATGTTTTTTACGTTATAAACGCTCTGTCGTCCAGTGTGATCGGTCCATAGCAAAAAGTATGACCCATGTCAATACGTAGATGCCGCAAAACCCTCGCTGACGTCAGGCTCAAGGCAGGCATCTGTCAAGCCATGAAGACAACCTCAGATGATCTGGAATGCTCTGGCTGTCTCGCTGATTACTCTGCGCGAAGCTTCTCCATCTTAAGCGCGATGTCGGGATCCACCGCCATCCATCAAGCACCCCCACAACCATTGAAGCTCGCTGCCCCCAAATGTCGACTGTCTGCTGCGTTCGTGTGTTCTTCTAGTCTGCGTCTCCATACGCTCTCTTGATCGCTCTCCAGCTCTTTTGCTCTCCTTCTTGACATCTCAAGCCACCGAGACAAAAGGTACGTATCCCGAGGGAGGGCGAACACGTGTGTTCGTCCTGGCGCAGACCTTTACGTGGTCCTCGGGATAAGTACTCTCCGACTCAAGCGAGGGTATCAGCAACCTTATGGGTTGTTGCTACACTCTCGGATGAGGAAACTAGCATGCGCCGAACGTTTTCCATATTCTGGACATTTATTTGCTGATTATATGTTATGTCAGGGCTACCTCCTACCGCATACGATTGCTTTTGGGAGGGAGGTGAGCGCGCTTCAAGCTGTGACGTGGGTCGAGACGGTGCCGCTTTGCCGTGTACATCGATTCGGGACTGGCACCGTCTCAAATATTTCAAGATATGTAATAATTGTTATGTTCTGTCCTACGACTTGATTAATCGAATACTCTTCGCTACGGATATAAGCCTGGCAGCTTCTCTAGCCTCTGAACATAAGAAAGCACGCTCTATGGTACGTGTAGACGACGATGCAGAATAAAGGCACTACAACAGAGCACCTCCTGGCTTCAATGGATGCGACCCAGCACATACACTGCGAGCGGTTGGAAAGTGGGTCGTGCCTGATGTTCTTCACGGGCTTTGTTCTTCAGACACCGTTCAGCACCCCTGCTAGGCCCCACTAGGGCTGCAAACGGGGCCACTGCGATGTTGTGTTTCTCTATAACCGTCGCAGGTCGAACGCTTGCGCACGCTCGAGATCACACGCCCATCCCCCCACCCATGATGCCCCCTGCGGCGGCATTTGGCCTCGATGCCGCATCCAACATGGGAGTCCATGTTCAAGTTCAACCGTAGGCTTCCGCCGTTTCGAGACGAGGCTGACGATGCTATTTTTGCGCATGACAGACATGTTCTGGAAAGGGTGATCGAGAGTGCCATTTCCGCCGACGCATGTCCCTGTGTCGTTTGGTGTGTCTTCCCCGCGCGCTGCGCCTCACAGCTTGTTCAACTCACGATGGTACAGCGGTTATTCGCATAGGGCGCCAAAGTCCTCAGCGTTGCCGCCGTACGCTCACTGAAGGCGGGAGAGCGACCGCCGCTGCTATTTTTGCACATGACACGCAGTGACAGGGCTTGACAGGAAGACGTGACCGAGACGCGCCCAGAAGGAAGCCCCCCGACGCGGTCAGCCACCAAGGCAAACCTATAAAAGGGGGGGACATCCTCGCTCTAATTCCTCACCCCGGCCGGGTAGCGGGCTAGCTGGTCTCCCCCGCGCAATACTAACTTTCTCCCCTTCCTCCCTTCCACCTCTTTACCTCCGACTCACTCACCTGGACCCCCTCCCCTGGTCCTGATGCACTCCTTCTCTCCGCCCGATACCCGCATCATTAGGTGACTCCACGACCCGTTCGACATCCAACACTCTTCGACACATCGTCTTCGCCGCACCACTACAACACCGCGACGAACGACGCCTCAACCCCCCGATGGAACTGGCAACTCCGTCGAAGACCGCGGCACCACGGGTTCACACTCTCAACGAGCGGTACGCCGTCGATACAAAACAGCGACAGGCGATCAAAAAATGGCTCGCACCGACTGACGACGACGTGCAGCCATGAAGACACGGGAGCGCAGTCTTCAGCGACAGTAATCCCGCGCGCTTCAACATCTGTTCCCTCGCGGTGCATGGGACGGGTGGGGGGCGCGACGATCCTGACGAGGTGACCCGCGCCCTGCGTTTGTGCCCGCACCGTTGCATGCCTCGATAAGAGACTACTTCGGTATGCGGAAGGACTCGGGGAGAAGACTCAAAGCTTCAAGCCCCGGGGGGACCTCCGGCGCGCAAGCCCCGGGCATGGTAGAAAGCAAAATCAAGTACCCCAAGAAACCGACGGCAACCACGGGACAAGAGATGGGCCGTCGGTAGCTGCGCCCTTTGGAGGTCGCCTCAGGGTGGCGGCGCTGGAGAGCCAAAAGAAGACTCACCGGCAACAACACTACGGCCAACACCTGCAGCTCGGACTAGTCGCCCGGGTGCGCGGGGCCTTTGAACGAAAGCTCCTAGGCAAACCAGCGAGACTACCGCGCGATGGGGAGGTCGCCTCTTTGCGCGGTCACATGCGACGGCCAACACCTGCACCCCGGACTGGTCGCCCGGG